CCCCCCCCCCCCCCCCCCCCCCCCCTTTCGTGTTTGTTCTCAGCGAAGAAGTCCCAGCCCGTTTATCGCTTCCCCTGAGGGAAGGTGCTTCAAAGGTTGCCCTTTTCTGTACTTTTCCCAGCTCCTCAATAACCTTTCTGAGATAAGGCGATCCGTGAGAAAGAGGGCTAGAAATGAAGCTGACAACAGCAGCAACGGCACACAGGGTGTTCCAAATAAAGGAGGAGGCCCCGCGGGGCTACACAAGGGCACCACAGGACCGGCTGTTTTGTTTTCAATTCCCTTCCCAACGGACCCCCCAGCACGGAGTCTGCCTTTTTCGCAGCTGCCGCACAGAGCCAATGTTTCCATCAAACTCTCCACTACATCCCCAAGATCTTTTTCCATACTGGTGCCTTCCAGCTCCCCAGTGGGGTTTTCAACGGAGAGAGACGAGCAGTAGACGCCTCCACCCCACTGAGCCCCAAGAGCCTCCGAGGCCGGCCCACGTGCGCTCCTGGCTCTCCGGGTCCCTGCAGCCCATTCAGGCGCAGCATGAGGGCCCTGGCCGCGGGGGCAGGCACGACAGGTCCAGCCAGGATGACGCTGGGCTTCCTGCCCCGTTCCGGCTTAAGCCTGCCTTGGTGGGGAGGGCGGGGTATGAACGGAATAAATAAGTAAAATGAATAAACTGGGCAAACAGTTTCCGTTTGACAGCCCTGGCCTCTGGCGTGGGATCTCCCCGCAGGGGACCATCCTTTCCCCAAACCAGACTTACAAAATCTGATAGTAATATCATCATTAAAATTAAAGTTAAATTTGGTAAAATTAAAGCTTGTTTTCACATCTGTGGCAAAAAAGCTATTGACTGGGAACACTGGCCACAAAAGGCACCCCAAGGACCACCACGCTCCAGAGCCAGACGCAGGGTGTGCTTTCCGGTGCATCAGTACCTGCTGCAGGGCCCCACCCCGCTGTGTGTCTGCCCGTTCTTCCCCAGTACTCACTGTAGCCCGCCTGCTCTCTACACCCCGGCCTGCTCCATCCCGAAGGGCACCTCCGGGTGCTTGTAACTCAGCAGGACGTCCGTAATACACGTGGAGGGGTAGCAGGAGGTGTTCAAGTGCTGGCTGCCATCCCCTAGGCCGGGGTGCTCCTCACCCTCCAGGTCCTCCTCACACTCTGCAAAACCAGACACAACAAATGCCTTACAAGGGGGAGGGGTGTGCCACCCGACCCCCGCGGTGCTCCCTGAGCCACAGGGGCCGCCCAGTCACGTGCCAAGCATTTCCGGTGGGCTTGGAAGGGCCGGGGGCTGCGAGGGTGTACAGATCCCCTCCCCCCGCCGGAGGGAGGGAGGGAGCCGCCCACCCTGGCCAGGAGTCCAGCTCCACACAGCCCACGGTCAGTCTGGTTGGCTGAAGGCGGCCTTTTCCTGCCTGGCAGGGGCCAGCCTGCATCCTCTTTCACCGGCTGCTCCTCAAGACAGAGCAGGCAGCCTGCGGTGGGCGGGGGCCCACAAGACTCTTCCCCACCGGGCCCCTTGCCGCCTCCCCCTTCCGCAACGTGCATCAGGGAACGGCGCAGCCCCAGAGCCTGGCCTCACCTGCGCTCTCCCCGTCATGGAGTGGCGACTGGCCGAGCACAGCATCCGACATGCGGGCAGAGCTCAAGGCCTTCCCAGCCATCAGACTCATGCCTGCTAGTGTGTCCAGTTGCACCTGGAGGGGAGGGGAGAGTCACGTCCGCATGGCTGCCTTCTCCGGGGCGAGGGGGAAGAAGCTTGCCAAGGGAAACGGAGCCTCCTCCCAACCTCTAGAGGACCAACCACCCCCACAACACCCACGGGAAGAGGAGGCTGCAAACCTACATAGGCATCATCGCTGTTCTGAATGGTGTGGTGTCTCTGCAGAGGCCGGGACCTGTGTGGGGCACCAGAGACCGGTCTTGCAGTGTAGGCTCCTGGCCCGTCGACAGCCGACATCTCCACAGCTTCCCCTGGAGAGTGTCTTTCCATGCCACTTGTGACCATGGAGTCTTTTTTTTGGGGGGAGAGAACAGAGACAAGACATTAAGTCCCTCCCCCGCAAGCCCCCATATCCTTGCAGAGGCCAGGGACATGAGGAGAGGAGGGGGGAATCAGTTCAACTTCATCGGCAGCCTGGTGGGACACGTCACAAACGATGGAACCAGCTCGCTAACCACATATTTGCCTTCGGTGTCTTTGGTGCACCCTGTGAACACGCCTTTTATGGCCCACATCGACTCAGGAGGGGGCACCCGGGGCCAGGGGCTCATACCCCTTGCGCAAAGGCAAGCACAGCCTCAAAATGAGCCACCGCAGAGCGGGGTGCAGGAGCCGGGCGGGTCCTCTTCCCTCCAAGAGGCACAGCAGAGCAAGGCCGAGAGATCCCCCTGCCCCGGGGGCTAAGGTCACGGTCACAGCACAGAACGGGAGACCCCCTGGGGGGCTGTGCCAGGGCCCCCCACAGGCGCCGCGGGCTGGGTCCTCCCGGGAGAGTGCCTGCAGTCACTCAGGGAAGGTGCTCCTCCTTCCAGAGGGCCAGTCAAAGGTCAGACCCTGCAGGAACTGCTGAGTCTGAGGGGCTAAAGATCGCCTTCTCCCTGCCCATTTATGGCTGCCCAGAGCAAATGAGGTGGCTTGGAAGCTCTGCCGCCCAGGCAGGGGCACCGGGGCCACCCCCCCCCCCCAAAAAAAGAGGGGGGGGGGGGGGGGGGGGGAGAGACTTTGCCCGGAATGGCACAGCTCGCTCCGTCTTCTCATTCGAGAGCACGGGTTCTTGTACGTGTGCAGCCCCGGCTGGGGCAAGAAGGGCTCCTTCCAGCACTGGAGCCAGCCGTCCCTGGGGTGGAGGGGTCAGCGTGCTGGGTTGGGACCAGGGTTCCCTCTCAGCTGAGGGAGTGTGAGCCAGCTCACAGTTTTTTAGCCTCCGGCTCACACATTTCGGTCTTAGCTCAGGAAGGAGGGCTCCACAGCAAACTAATTTATGCAGGAGCCAAACTGCTCGCTCACAACTTGAATGCCAGCAGCTCACAAAGTGGAATTTTCGCTCACAAGACACCACAGCTTAGAGGGAGCGTTGGTTGGGACCGGTGTTCCCTCTAAGACAAGTTAGTGTGAACTAGCTCACAGTTTTTTAGCCTCCAACTCACACATTTTTGCCTTTGCTCAGGAAGGATGGCTCCGGAGCAAGCTCATTTATGCAGCAGCCAAATTGCTCGCTCTCAATTTTAATGCCAGGAGCTCACAAAGTAGAATATGTTTGCTCACAAAGCTCTACAGCTTAAGAGGGTAGGCAGACCCAACTCCCCACTCAGCCAGGAAACTACCTGGGTGAGAACACGTCCGTCACCTGCTCTCATCCCAACGGTGCCTTCCATGTACCAAAGACCGCAGGACAGGCTCTCTGCTTATCTCGGTGAAACCACTGAGAGAGGCCAGCTGGAGATTTGGGGTATGGCACCAACAGAAGAACCCCCCCTCCCCACGCACGCACACTCCTTCCCCCATGGGACCCAAAGGAAGCGGTGGGTCTGCTAAGCCAGTGCCTACAATCAGCAAGGGAGTGGATGAGGGTGGGCAAAGCAACTCTACGTCCAGAGGTGCAATCAAGCGAGGGGCTCTGTTGATCCTGGAGGACGGATGCCCCGGCTTCATACCCTTGGAGTGTCCTTGGGCCAGCGGCGGCCAGTGGGGCTTTTGGCTGTCTTTGACCGACACACCAACCACAGTCCCCTCTGGGGAGGCCTGACCCAGCTACAGTCCTCCAGAAGCACAGGCGACCCAGAACGCAGCGGCCCAGTTCCCGGCAGGAGCGGCCTGTGGTGAGCGTCTGAGGGCCAGCCTCGCTGTAGCTGCACCGCCTGCCGGGCTGTCTCCAGGCCCCACGCGAAGCACTGATAAGGCCCCACCCGAACGGGCTGGGACTGGAACACCTCTGGAGCCAGCTCCTTCGATGCGCACCTCCCCACGGGCTTCCGTCAACTGGAGGGGCCCCTGAGGAGCGGAGCTCACTCCTCCCTAGTCTCACGGTGAGAGGGAACACGATCCTGTTTTGCCCTCACCCTCCTCCTCCTCCTCTGTCTGTGGCTGGCGTCTCATGCTCACTGCTGCCCTTCTGCATTCTGCCGACCGGCCTGCCTGAACTGGTTTTGTGCCCTCCCTTCGTTTTGGGGCGTGTTTCTGGTTCACAGCACAGGCCTGCCCTCCCACCGGCTGCCGAGTCTACCTCCCCCCCCCCGCCTTCGAGGAAGAAGGGGCTCTCCGGCCCCGAGCTTCCCAGGGGCAGCGCGCAGGGCTCCCCTCCTCCCCTGAGGATGCCACCTGGTCCCCAGCCAGGCTCCCGGTCCCTCGAGAGGTCAGTCCTGTCTCCAGGGCCTCGGGCAGGCCACCTTCTGCCTGCTCCTTCCAGCCGGAGGTGCCGGTCCCACACCAAGCCCCCTGTGCAGCACCCTGGCTGTGCTCTCTTGCGCAGAGAGCCACGACTGACCTCTTACCGCGTCCCGCCCCCCTCGCCCAGCTCCAGGGGTCCACCACTTCCGGCTGCACCTGGCCTTACCTCTATAGGGCACCTTATTCCGACTGAAGGCGGCGGCGGCTGGGTGGTGGCCGTAAAGGTGCGTCCCAAGCTCTTGCTCAGCAGTCCCAAGCACGGATTCGGGGTCCCCCGGCCCCCCGATGCCCAAGAGCAGCGACGACTCGTGGCAACCTTTGGTCTTATGGTCTGGGAAACCGTCCCTGTCCCCCTCGCACACACAGTCCACCGCCTCCTCCTCCTCCTCCTCCTCCTCCTCCATGCTCTCCGAGTGGACCAGGGCAGGCTGGGGGGCGTACCCATGGGCTGGCATGGAGGACGGGACCTGCGAGATACATTCGTGGGGCCTCACTTTCAAGAGGTGCTGGGGGCTGGTGTGGTGGTGCTGGTGGTGGTGGGGGGGATGGTGGTGGTGGGGGTGGTGGTGTGGGGGATGGTAGGTGTCAGTGTTCTGATAAGGCAAAGACAGCGACTGGCGCTCGGAGAGTTTCTGGGGCATGTGAGCAGCCCCGTGCCCAGCCTCCCCTTGGCTCAGGTGTCGCATCAGCTCCTGAACCTCTTGCTGCTGCTGCTGCTGCCGCCTCTTCATCAGCTCCGCCTGAGGCAGCCGCAAGTCCGCGTGGCCCGTGAGCGAGTGCCGGGGTGACAGCAGGCCGCGCAGCATGTGCGGGACTTGCTGGTGCCGGCTGTAGTCCAGTGGGGTTGGGGACAGCAGCGCCTGCTGCAGGGCGGAGGTGGCGTAGTGCTGCTGCTGCTGCTGCGCGCTCTGGGGGAAGGCCGGGAAGGGCTCCAATTGCGAAACCTTCAGGGCCTGCGTCGGAGGGAATCCCACCGCTGGGGCAGGGCTGTAGCTGCTCGGAGACACGCGGGCCTGCTCCGGAAACAGGTGGGGGTGCAAGTGCAGCTGGTCGTAGCCAGAGGGTGGATACCTGTGCAAATAGGAACAGAGCTTCAGACATCCCAAGCGAGAATGGTTAGGACACAGCAGGGCTGCTGGGCCTTTCGCCACAGCCCAGGAGGGAGCCGGCTTCTCCCGCTCTAGCCGGCCGGCCAGCCGAGACCAGCAGCTGACCCCTCCCCCAGCACTCACCCGACACGGAGGCCCCACTCTCAGCTACACCGGCCAGCCACCACTCCAGCGTGCAACCCAAGGATCAATGCGGCCACATCGGGTTATCCCACAGGCTGCAGCCGAGTCCTGTCGTGGGGTGTGGCGTTCCCCACTGTGTGCACAGTGGGGGGATCTGGGCCACGCTCCGCCAGCAAGGCAGACGTCTGCCGTAGCCGTACCTGTGTGACTCTGCGCTGTCTGTGCTGAGCTGCTTGGAAAGAGGTCTGTGCCCGTAAGTCAGGGAGGCCATCAGGTTGGCGCGATGGTGCATCTGGAGCTGGCTGGCGCCGGGGGCGATGGCCATGCCCTGCCCGGCCTGCAGGAGGCCGCCCGCAAGCACGTCTCCTGGCTCCTGCACCTGGATGGCGACTGACTGTCCTTGCACTGGCTGCGGCACGCCCATGCAGGAGAGGGCCATGGCAGGCGGAGGGGAGCAGCTGCCCGACTGCTGGAAGAGGGCGCTGTGAGAGGGCATCCCTTGGAACTGGGGCTGCGAGGTGGCACCTGTGAGGAAGAGAAAGCCATTCCGTTCAAGGCCCGGTCGTGGGGGGGGAGGCACCGGGGGGGGGGCTGGGCTGGGCTGAGCCTGCTTCTGGAGAACAAGCAAACTCTCCAAGGCTGCGCGCACGGGTGTGGGTGTGTGAATTCGGAAGAGTTCCCACCACTCGGCTCGGATACAGCCAGGGCCTGGACAAACCCAATCAAACAAACAGCATCCTGCCAACCTGTCAGCACTTACTGTGGCTCTGGAGGAGACTGCTGCTGATGGGAGGGGGGCTGCTGTCCGTCTGCCGGAAGAGATGGTTGCTGGGGTGGGTCGGAGGGGGGCTGGACGGCTGGATTCTTAACCTGCACGGTCACACACACACACACACACGCAAAACCAGAGATGACTGCTTCGGAGGGTTGGTCATGTTAGTCATGTGGCAGCAAACTAATCTTTCAGGGGCCACACTCAAGTGGTGCCTTAAGGACTTTATTCCAACATCGATTTTTGTGAGTCGGACCAGTGTTCCCTCTAAACTGAGTTAGTGTGAGCTAGCTCACAGTTTTTTAGCCTCCGGCTCACAGATTTTTAGCCTCCGGCTCACAGATTTTTGTCCTAGCTCAGGAAGGGAGGCTCCTGAGCAAACTAATTTCTGCAGTAGCCAAATCACTTGCTCAAAACTTTAATGCCAGTAGCTCACAAAGTAGAGTTTCTGCTCACAAGACTCCACAGCTTAGAGGGAGCATTGAGTCAGACTCGTGAACGTTTAAGGTGCCACTGGATTCCTTACAAAAAGGTTACAAAAACACTCCTGACTGGATTAAGCAGAGGGAAAGAGCAGCCCTGCCGGACCGGACCAGTGGCCCAGCCAGTCCAGCATCCTGTCTCATACAGTGGCCAAACTAGTTACCATGGGAGGGCCAACGACAGAGCTCAGGGGCCACAACCTTCCTCTGATGCTGCCCTCTGGCTGACTGCCTCTGAACACAGAGGTTCTTTTTAGTCCCCATGGCTTCCAGCCACTGATAGACCTATCCTCCACAAATCTGTCCAATTCCCTTTTAAAGCTGTTTATTCTCCTCTGACCATTACTACATTCTTTGGCAGCGAATTCTGCATTTTAGTCACCTGTTGAGAAAACAAGTATTTCCTTTAATCCGTCCTGACTCTACTGGCCATCAGCTTCAGTGGTGCCCCCAAGTTCTAGTATTCAGGAGGAGAGAGAAGAAGTTCTCTCTGTCCACTCTCCACCTCAGGCGTAACTTTGTAAGCCTCTATCATGTCCCTCCTTTGCCATCTTTTTTCTAGACTGAAGTCCCAGACTCTTCAGCCTTTCCGCATAAGCAAGGTGCTCTAACCTCCTAATCATTTTGATTGCCCTCCTCTGTGCTTTTTCCAGGTCCGCAGTGCTCATTTTGAGATAAACGACCCAAACTGAGCACGGTATTCCAAATAAGGCCGCAACACCAATCTATACAGGGGCATTACGATACTGGGAATTTCATTCTCAATACCCTTCCCACTAATCCCCAGCATGGAGTGTGGAGAAGTGTCTTCCACCCTGGAATTCACCTCTATACTCCAACCACTGGGCCTGTGTTGTTTGTGAGCTAGAACCCAGCCACAGACTAGGAGCTGGCAGAAAGGAGGGAGCCAAAGCACAGAGCACTTCAGTGCTTACATAGGCTAATGGCTCTGATTCAAATGGGACAATGGTTGGCCATCTCACACTGTGCTAGAGTGTACCTCAAGGGACAGGCCGGAAAATCAAAACAATCCCAAGGGACAGACACTCCCAAAGGGAGATTATAAATTCACAGGACAAGAAAAAAGCCCTTTTCTATCTGGTGCAGCTCTTTGTAGAGGCACAAGCCATGAGGGGCTAAGTCTTTACCAAAGGACTCTATCTTGTCCACGTGTCAAGAAACAATGGGGAGCAAATCCCATCTAAGAGAATTGAGGTAACGCTGAACTTTCAACTACGGCAAATTCAAGGAATACTAGCGTGTCCTATTTAAACACTGTTTAGGATAAGTACCAACTGCAGGGAAAGAAGAGTACATGTTTTCACCTTTTCTTTATACCCTTCCTCAACCCAAATGCTCCTACGGACCACATGTATTCTTTTTATACTTGTATAAAGGTCAGTAGTTCAGCAGTTTGAGACCCGGGTGCCGCATGACAGAGTGAGCTCCCATCTCTAGTTCCAGCTCCTGCCAACTTAGCAGTTCAAAAGCAAGACATTGCAAGTAGATAAATAGGTACCACTTCGGTGGGAAGGTAACAGCGTTCCGTGCGCCTTGGTGTTTAGTCATGCCAGCCACATGACCACGGAAACGTCTTTGGACAGCGCTGGCTCTTCGGCTTTGAAACGGAGATGAGCACCGCAACCCTAGAGTCGGATTCGACTGGCTTTTGAGCAAGGGAACCTTTACCTTTACCTAAAGTATACTTATACTTGATATACTTTTATACTTATATCTCGAATGTTCTAAACCTGACCTCTGAAAACATACCACGCCTACTGGGTCTTGCTGTCTGAAGTGTGGTAATGGGGAGGGACACTGGGTTAGCTCACCATCCATGGAGCGTGACCAGTTGGAAAGTGCAAACTTGTGACAGATAATCCATATGCCAACTTGAAGGACCGAAGTGAAAGATGAGGCAACTAGGTGGAACCTGTAAATGGAAATCTAGTGTGCCAGACATGCAGCTCTATCTAGCAGGAGATACTCTAAGAGTTGCTGGTGGCAGCGGATGATTCCCAGTTTGCTTTTGGTAATTATTGGGAGTAAGGGAAAGGAACAGTGTCACTGAGCACATAACTAAGGCAGACATGGGGTTTTACAACCTCCTGTGAACCCAAAGGAATGGGGGGCTTGTGAGTCCATTCCTCCACAGAGTTTACCCTTCTTCACTGCCACCACACACTGAATTGACATTTTCTTTGGGCTTTCCACTACAACCCCAAGGTTTCTTTCCCTCCCAGTGTCAGCAAGTTCAGATCCCATCACCAAAAACCTGGGATTTTTCTGTTCAAGTGTGTACTGCCTTACACTTGCCTACATTGAACTACATTTGTGACACTGTTGTCCACTCACCCAATTTAGAGAGATCCTCCTGGAGCCCTTCACATTCAGCCTTGGTTTTCACTACTCTGAGTAATTTTGTGTCATCTGCAAACGTGGTCACTACACTGCTCACTCCCAGTTCCAGACCATTAACAGACAGAGCACATTACAGTGGCCCCAATACCAATGCTTCTGGGACCTCACTGCTCACTTCCCTCCATTGAAAGAACTGTCCATTTATTCCTACTCTCTGCCTCTTTTCGTGCAACCAATTTTTAATCATCAAGAGGACCCATCATGTTATTCCCTGACTGCTAAGCTTGCTCAGGAGTCTCTGGTGAGGTCCCTCGTCAAACCACCACAAGTGTTTTTGCAACCTTTGATCTTTGGTGGAATCACCAGCACAGGACAAACAGAGAATGTGGAACAGCCTACTTGGAACGGCTGCTCCTCCTCCATCACGTAGGCTGGCTGTGTTGTGGGCAGTGGCCTGGCTGGGTCACAAGAGCCAGGGGCAGAGGGGACAAGCCCAGTCAATCCACAAGCTGAGAACAGCAACTCTTTGCCCAGCTGTGCAGCTGCCTCGGTCAAAGCCAGTAACAGGAGGAGGAGGAGGAGGAGGAGGAGACTGGATTCATACCCTATGGCCCTTCACTACCCAAAGGAGTCTCAGAGCGGCTTACAAACTCCTTTCCCTTCCCCTCCCCACAACAGACACCCTGTGAGGTCAGTGGGGCTGAGAGAGCTCTGACACAAACTGCCCTTTTCCAAGAACAGCTCTTGTCAGAACTACGGCTTGCCCAAGGTCATCCAGCCAGGTGCAAGTGGAGGAGAGGGGAATCAAACCCGGTTCTCCCAGATTAGAGTCTGCACACTTAACCATTACACCAAACTGTAATGGGGGACCTACAGCAAGAAGCCAGGAAAATGCAGTCTCTTCCTTAGGGATTGTACTAACATTTCTTGCATGTTCCTCACACCCAGAGGGGAGAGGCACTCAGCCTTCCTCTCCAGGTGGCATCTTTGCCAGGTATCTGCCCAGTCTTTCCTTGCAAGGTGCCCCAGGGAAAAAGAGATCACAGCATTCCCGCCCAGACTGCTCCCCGGCTGAACTGTTCCTGTCTTTCAGAAACAGCTTCTCCTAGACTTTAACCACACTGGCAGGCCCTGCACTTGTTGGACTTGTCTCAGAGAAGCCCACCGTCGGGAGCACACCAACCCCTGGCAGAGGTGCAGGAGCCAAGCACACTGCGGATCTCGGCACGGGCTGCATGGTCCCCTGCAGCAGCATTGCAGGCCTGGGCACCTCTCGGGACACAGAAGGGCAGAAGATCTCTTACCTCTGCAGCTGGTGCGTGAGAAGAGCCGGCTGGTTTTCTCCCGGTGCCTGCAGTGGCGGGGAGGGCTGCGGAGGACGGACACAATCCTGTTCAAGGCACAGGGAGGGGGGTGGGGAGTGTCTTGGTGAGCAGCAGTAGCGGCATCCACGGCACACTCCTGGCAGCTGCCTACCCACAAGGCAGCACTGCACAGCCGGGATGGGCAGCCGTCCGGGAGAACCAGCCGTCTGGCTACCGGCTAGCAGAGAAATGCTGAAACTCGGGGTGGAGGGGAGCGCGATGGCAGGGAGAGCAAAGAGGCTGCCATGAGCCGGTGGCTGCAGACCGTGGCGCTCTATAGGCTTACCAGAAGCCAGGCACCTGGGGAGGTGATTTCACCACACAGCAGAGGCAGGAGCCGGGGAGGCTCAGCACACACACACACACACCCCTCCCCATACCTGGAGCTGCTGATGCAGGATCTGCTGATGCTGCTCCTGCTGGTACAACACGTGCTGCTGCTGCGTCTTCTCCAGGGTCCTCTCGTCCATGTGGCCCCCATACATCTTCTGGAGCTGCTCACACTCCTGAAACAACACCCCCACCCACACACATGACTTGGGGGGTTTGCTGTTTTATTTTGTTTTCAACTTAATTTTTTTTTAAAAAAACTACCATTGTAAGCCGCCATGAACCACAAGGAAAGGCAGAGGATGAATATTTCAATAAATAAATAAATAAATAAAATGAGTGACATCTGCCCGGGGGCGGGGGTCCACGCATGTTCTTAGGCAGCTCTGCTGTTCTGAATCTGGGGGTCTGGGAGGTATGGCAGTTTGGGAGGTGTGCGGGGGGGGGGGGGGGAGTATCTTTTGACGAATGTTTCAGAGACGCTGAAATACTTGGCACCCTTCCCGTCTCTGTCCCAGCCTAAGGAACGACAGTGTGCGGCAGAGGCAGAGACTAATTCTTCAGAAAGGCTCACACACGGGCCACTTTGTCAAGCCCCCTGGCATAGCTCCCTCCCCCTCCCACCCCAGCTCTCCTTCCCCCTCTTCCACACCTGCTGCAGCTGTTTGATGCTGCTGTGGTTGCCCATCTTCTCCAGCTGGGCCTTGAACGCCTGGATGCTGGCTGCCCCATCGGAGAAACGACGAACCGGAGAGAAGCGCTCCGTGGGAAGGTGCAAAGTATTGGGATCCTTGTAGATGTAGCTGTGCGTGCAGACACACGGAGAACAGGGTCAGGAACAACCACGCTCCCGGCCACCTGAGACCTGGCCCCCATTTCCTCGTTGGACGAAGGGGCACCGCTTCCCACCGCGTCCTCCACGCCATTCTCACAGTTCCGGCAGCACCTGCGATCTCGGGGGCCCGCGGCAACCGACTGTCGTCACATCACACGGCTTCCCAGCAGGCTCTCCCCCTTCCCTTTTTTGAACTCTCAAGTGAGGAGTCGGCAGCAACCGTGCGGGGAAAGAAAGGGGCCCTCCCAAGACAAAGGGAGGGGGCTGCCTTGTCCCGTCTGCCCACTCATTCAGAAAAAACGGGGTGGGGTGGGGACAGTTTCCAAGCCAAGGGCTGAGGGCGGTGTTGAAGACCTTCCACCAAGCGCGCAACTTTTCTGCACCTGGGTAACCAGGTCTGATCAAGAGCCCTCCACCTCCCACTCAGCACCCCCCCCCAAAGATGCTGCAAGGGAGGGGCTACCGGCGCTCCCCTCTGGGGCCAAAGACTAAGGCCCAGAGCCCTCCCTTCAGGCACAGCCGGAACTGCTGGCCCTCGGCCCCAAGTCAGGCGACCGTGAGCACCCGGGGGCAGAGAGGTGTGCCCAGAACAAAAGGGGCTCTACTGCCCACTCAAGACCCCCCCCCATTACTGACCAAACACATAAGTTGGGCTGTCAGGGTTCAGAGAGCCTCGGGCCAGAGGAATGAGTGGGGTGACTGTGTTGGGTAGCGGCTGGAGTGTCAGACCAGAGCATGGGAGGGCCAGGCTCAAATCCCCCCCCCTCTGCCACAAACGGCCAAGTTGTTCCCAGCCTGATCTGACTCACAGGGTGGTTGTCA